TTTTTTTTTTTTTTTTTTTTCTGAGGAGTCTCAGTCTATTGCCCAGGCTGAAATGTAGTGGCATGCTCACAGCCACCACAGCCTCTACTTACTGGGCTCAGGCGATCCTTCTGCCTGAGCCTTACAAGTAGCTGGAACTACAGGTGTGTACCACCACATCTGGCTAATTTTTGATTTATTGTAGAGATGAAGTCTCACCGAGTTGCCCAGGCTGGTCTTGAACCCCTGGGCTTAGGCAATCCTCTTGCCTCCACCTCCCCAAGTGCTGGGATTACAGGTGTGAGCCACTGTGCCCAGCAAGACTGAGTACTTTATAAAGAACAGAAATTTATTTCTCACAGTTGTGGAGGCTGGGAAGCACAATATCAAGGCACCAGCAGATCTGCTGTCTGGTAAGGGCTGTTCCTTGCTTCCAAGTTGGCGTCTTCTTGCTGCGTTCGCATGTGGTGAAAGGTAGCACAAAGAGATGAGTGCCATGTCCTCACACGGTAGAAGAGATGAAAGGGCAGAGGCCTAGCTAATTCCCTCAAGCCCTTTTGTCTACTTTTTATTCCTTTTTTTGTAGAGACTGGGTCTTACTATGTTGCCCAGGCTGTTCTTCAACTCCTGGGCTCAAGACAACCTCCCAAAGTGCTGGGATGACAGGTGTTAGCCATCACACCCAGGCTCAAATTTTTTTGAGGGAACTTACCCCATTCATGATGGCCCTGCTAATCACCTCCTAAAGACCCTACCTCTTAATACTATCACATTGGGTCTTAGGTTTCCAACATAAGAATATTAGGGGGACACATACAAACAGTAGTACATGGATAAGTGTGTGACCGTGGGTTTTATTTCCTAGGGCAGCATGCCTCTCCCTTCTTCTGGTATGAGATAGGATTTTTATGCACACCTACAGAGAATTGTCCATCCATCAGCAAGACACTAGGTCTGCTGCCAGTTAGGTCATTAATTTAGCACCCAGTTAGGATATGGAACCAATTGGGGTGTTCCAGATAGGACTTGATACAGGGAATGGTTACAGGGGTGTTAGAAGGCCGAAAGTGCCAACTGGGACAAGTGAGTTGGCCCAGAAAGCAGTGTGTGTGAGAATCCTCTCCTCCTCTAGCACTGACTGGGATACAAAGAAGTGAGATTCCCAGGATCCAGTAGGAGCCTAGAGGACAAGCCATGTGCAGCTGGTGTAGGTGCCGTGTGACTGGTGCTTACGCCTCAAGAGGGGTACAGTGTGTCTTGTGCCAGAGTCCAGACAGATGCTGGAGCCTGGGATGCTGTTGGAGGGGCTTCAGCAAGAGCCCAAAGCAAGGAGAGGTCCCCTCCCCTCCCACGCCCCCATTCAGCCTGTACCTCTCAGAATGGAACTTAATCGGCTCTCATGGGAGTCTGGCAAAACACTTTGCAAACTGCCCCAGTAGCACAGAGCCGCATGGACGGGCTCCAGGCTGAGAAACACTAGGTAAACAGTAGCACAGTCCTGGGAAGCACTGTCCTAGGTACCAAGAATGAAGCAGGGAGGGAGACACAATACTTCCTTGCCCTCAGGAGCTGAGACTCCAGTGTGAGGACAGGAAACAATCACATAAACCAGAGTGTGATGGCTCCAGGTGCTAAAGAGTGCTCGGGAGAAAGTAAGGCAGGGAGGGGAATAGTGAGATGCCCTCCTTAGCCAAGCAGACTGAGGACATCTTTTACAAAGTGGGGCATGTTGAGACCCTGGTTGGAGTTCATGGGATGCTCACAGCCACCACAGCCTTGACCTCAGGGGCTCAGGTGATCCTTCTGCCTCAGCCTCCCAAGTAGCTGGAACCACAGGCGCATGCCACCATGCCTGGTTATGAGTCAGAGTCTTGCTCTGTTGCCCAGGCTGGAGTACAGTAGCATACTCAACGGCCACCACAGCCTTGACCTAATGGGCTCAGGCTATGATTCCTACCTCAGCTTCCCAAGTAGCTGGAACCACAGGTGCATGCCACCATGCCCAGCTAATTTTTTAACTTTTTGTAGAGATGAGGTCTCACCAAGTTTTCCAGGCTGGCCTCAAACTCTTGGGCTCAGACAGTCCTCTCACCTCTATCTTCCAAAGTGCTGGAATTATAGGCATGAGACACCATGCCTGGCCTAGATTCAGGATTTTAAAGTGGAGTGCACAGTTCACTAACATGGCATTTTTGGTACTGGTCAGGGGCTGCAGGAGTCATGTTGACTCATTTTAGGTTTGTGATTTCCATTTGTCATCCAAGTGGCTGTACCTCATGCCTGGGCTTTGGCCTGGAGATAAAGACTTGGAAGTTACCAGTGATGCTATATAAAGTCTTGGAAGTCAATGGCATCTGGAAAGTATAGAGAGAGAACAGGAAGCCCAGGGTGTACTTGGGCAGGCTGTTGTCTATCTTGGGAGAGCATGTGGGATTAAATTCTTAGCTTTAGAACTGGGGGAGCCTATGGGGGAGGTGTGATAACACCTGGGCTGGAAACTTCTGGGCTTTCAACAGGAGCCAGAGGAAATATTTGTCTTTGGTGAGTTGATATCCTTGGAAAAACGTTCCTCAAAAGTCACCCCAGCAAAGAGATCCAGGCCAGCCCTGTCCCAAATCCACACACACACACATACCTGGTAAAGGGAATATTTTCCAGGCTGGGAATCTCTGCTTCCGACTCAGGCTAGGTTGTTTGTCTATCAGACGAGGGGTCGGCAAATTTTTACTGTAAAGTACTGGAGGATAACAATTTTATAGACCTTGTGGGCCATAAGATCTCTGTGGCAACTACTCTCAGATCTGCTGTTCTATGCAAAAACAGCCATAGACAATAGGTAACTGAATGAGCATATCTGTTCCAATACTTTTTTTTCCCCCAAAACTAGGTAGCAGGCTAGGTTTGGTCTTAGTTTGCAGACCCCTGCCTTAGGCTGTCAATTCTGCTGCATGTGACAGAGACCCAAAATAATGGTGGCATAAATAAGACAGAGGTTTATTTCTCTTACATAGCAGTATCGAAGTGGGTTGGTGTGGTGGCTCTGCTCTGTGAAGTTGACCACAGACCCAGGCTCCTGCCATCTTGTTGCTCTGCCATCCCACATGTGCTGCTCTTGTTCTCGTGGTCCAAGATGGCTGGGTACCATGTCCATATTCCAGTAGGGAAGGTGGGGGAGAGGCACGTCCCTTTCCCAAGCTTGAGGGTTCTGCCCAGGAATTTAGCCAGACTTAGGTCCCATGGCCACATCTAACTGCAAGGGAATCTGAAAAATGTAATCTTTGTAGCTACCATGTGCCTAGCTAGAACTTGGGAGACAGTGATCGGTCTCTGCACAACCACCTCACCTGTGGGCTCTAAAAACATCCCTCAATTCAAACAGGGTCTATGAGTATTGTATGCAGGGTATCAGCTGTTGTCTCTAGAAGCAGGGCAACTAATGTAGGGGAGTAAAACTGGCCTGTGGAACTCTTCTCCAGTCTGAGGGTGACACCCACTGCTCAGCTCCAGCTTGTTACATCTTCTGCCCTGTCCCTGCTGACAGTGTAAGCCTGGGTTGGGCCTTACAAGAGTGCTGAAAATAGGATCTTAATGGGAAGTCTCCCATTGTTGGCCAAATAAAACACGAAACAGAAGGTATCTCTGTTTGATTCCAAACCAGTTTCCCCACAAGGCGAGGTCTGAGCTCCCCCCCTGCCCACACCCTTATGTTCTCTGGAAATTCCCACTCAAAAGCCTGAGCTCCCTTTTAGACATTTTAATATGGATGTTTTCTGTTTTTAGATACTGTTGCTGTTAGCTTATTCATGCCATCTCACCTACACAGATAAAAAAATATCCCATGAGTAGAATGAAACATAACATTATTCAAATAGGGCATAAATTATCCGGAGGGCTAGTGCCATCCAACGCCACAGCCCCTCTTTGAGTCGGGAAGGCTGGTGGGGATGGGAAGAGACAAGGATTCGAATTGCGACCCCCACTCCATGGAGGTGCAGCTCCCAGCACTGCCCTATCCCCAAAGGCCCAAGTTGCTCCACGTCTGGGACTCATCTTGCAGTGTTACAGGCCAGCAGCACCTCACCTTCTCTGCCCCCCAACTTGGGCACAGATCCAGGGCAGTTTGCTCCTAGGTCCATGGCTTCTATCTGGGAAGAAGGTGATTACACAATCTGCAGCTCATTATTTCATTGGGGATGAGGGAGATACAAATAATTTTCCCCTCGTGCTCTTTTTCTTGCCCATTTTTAAAAAAAGATTTCATTATTGTCTAACTTCTGCTTCCCCAAAGGCTCTGGGTCCTATTTGTCAAGAGCCCTCTCTGCCTTCCTAGGGAGGGAAGCAGATGCCTCTAAGCCCCTGGGGTTCCTGCGCCACAGAGTCACCATCGAGTGGAGAGGACTTCAGCTACCCTCAGAGCTCCCCCCTGGCATGCCGAATGTAGTGTTGATGCAGCCCCGCTTCCTGGGCAAAGTCCTGGCCACATTCTGTGCAGGCAAAGGGGCCAGGAAGGATGCTGGCTTCATGCACCTGGCGGTGCCGCCTCAGAGAAGCAGCCAGCCCAAAGGTCTTGCCACAGTCAGGGCAAGGGAAGGAGGGCTGGGCAGCAGTGGATGCACCCGGCGGCGAGGGCCTGGTGGCCGGACCATGACTGCGTTGGTGGGTGATCAGGGCCTTGGAGGAGGGGAAGGAGCGAGCACAGGTGAAGCAGATGAAGAGGGCCCCCTGTAGCTTCTGGGCCACGAAGTCCGCTGGGTGTTCCCGCTTCATGTGACGCTCCTGGAACTTGGCATCTGCGAAGGTGATGAGGCAGCGGGTGCACTTCGGGGCCCCCAGGTGGCCTGAGGGATGTGGGGAGAGGTCGGGGAAGGCCAGCAGGAACCTCCAGGACCTCTCCCAAGCCCCAGAATTACTCCAGCAATGAACACTGAGTGCTTTCTGTGCTAGGCTCTACAGGAGAACTGTTATTGGACCTATTTTATGGATGAGCAGACTGAGATATTGAGTGAGGTTAGGCAAGTTGCCCATCCTCATGAAGCTACGAAATGAAATAGTGGAGCCAGAAATGGAAACCAGAGAGTCTGTCTTTTCACGTGGTATTGTGATGAGAGCACAGCCTGTGGAGGCAGACTGCCTGGTATTGAATCCTAGCTCCACCACTTCCCGGCAATTACAAGGGTGTCCTCATCTGGAAAATGGGGCAATCATAGTATACACTTCATGGGTTGTAATGAATAAGTGAGCTATTTTGTGTTAAGTGCTTAGAACAGTGTTATATAACGGTGCACAATTATGACTACTGATACAGACAAAAGCTGTCCGACTTCCGGGGTCTGGCATGGCACTCACAGCTAGGCCTTGGTGTACTGCTGAACATAAACCATTTTGCAGATCACTGACAGACAAGGCCACGCTGTAACTAGAATGAAGCAAGACAAGACCACATCATGACAATGTCTGAACACAGACAAAACATGAATGTTGTCCAGGCCAGAAGAGTGCCCAGACATCCCCGTGCTCTTGTTAGTGCGAGTGGGTGCTGGTGCTTTATCAGCCACAGCCTGAGCCTTGCATTCTCCATTCAATCTGGGGAAGAATCATAGCCAATCATGGAACTGCCCCTGCTTCCTGGCAGCATCCAATCCAGAGCAAAGCAACAGTTCTGCTCGAACCCTTCCCCCAATCACCACCCACAAGCCCAAACCCTATAAGTCATTTTGAACACTTAATGCGACAGCCCTCACGGTTCCCCCACAGTTTGTGTTCTTCACTGCAATGAGCAAGAAAGCCATCAACTACAGGTGTGTTGGTGGTGGTCTTTGGCTGGAGGGCATTGACATGAATGAGTCTTTTTACAAGGAACCTGAATCTGTCTCTGCCTCAGTTCCCTCATCTTAAAGTGACAGTACCAACTTATAGAGTCCGTTATTAGAAGGACTGAATGAGGTAATGAGAATAAATGCGCCTATCACATAATAAGCATTCAGTAGGAACATGTTGCTATTATACGTCATGAACATCAAGCTTTCCTTTTTCTGCAGTGAATCCCCATAACCACCTGTCAGGTGGAGTGGCAGCCTCTTGACAAACCAAGGTTCAAGTCACTGAGAGTCTAGGACAGAGTTGGGCCCAGAACCTTGGGGCTTCTCTTGCAGTAGAGACTCCCAGCCACATGTCCAACCCAAGCCTCTCCTGGAAGCCACCCTATCCCTGTAAACAAGCATCTGTTTATGTGACCAGAGCCGGGTGAGCACCTGGGTGCGCGCCGCCCCCTCTAGCCGGCCAGCCAGCCATCTGTACTCACAGATGTTTCCTCCTGGACTTTGGGGACTCCTCTCCTTGGGAGAATCCCGCTGATCCATGTTCTCTTCAGGGTGCAGGTCCTCCATAGTGACTGGGACCTCTCTGGTCAAGAGAGGAGCATGCATGAGTGCGGCCGCTCACCTGTCACCAGCCCTGCAGGGCACGCTAAGTCTGTGACCTTTGACATCGACAGAGGCTGTCCTTGCCAGCCTCTGGCCCCCAGGACATGCCATCTCCTTAAACTCATGAAGCTCTCACTAGAGAAGCCTCAAACCTAACAGGTTGGACTCCCTAACGGGTTTGTGACTACCCCGTGTGACCAGTGACCCCCTGCATCAAACTGACTCCCTGAACTCAGCATGGGAAGCTTGATCGTTGACACAGTCTCATCCCAGCCTGAAGTGTCTTGGGGCAGGTAGTGGTACCCACCCTTTAGCCCGCTTCTTCCCGGAAGACATCCTTCTCTGACATCCTGTGACTTCTGGTCCGCCCAGAGCCCCCGCCTTCCACGCGCGCTTTCAGCCGCGGTGTCCTGTGATCCCCGAGCGCTGTCGTCCGGTTTCCGCTCGGGGGGCTGGTAGCCCAGGCCTCCGCTGTCCCCCGCACAGCACAGGGCTGCCTTTTGCGGCGCCTGTCAGTCGCTCGCCACAGCGCCGCCACCCTCAGGGAAGTGCGGTGAGGCCCGCCGAGTCTCCGGGTCCCCCTAGTCTCCGCGCACTGTCGCCTGCTGAGCCTCTCGAAGCCGAGATCCCGGTTTGCCATCCGGCAGTAGGGCAGTCGCGCCAGCCTGGTCCTCAAAATAACGGGAGGGGGTCCTTCTCTGCACCGGGGTGCGTTATGATGACGTCACTAGCCACCCGTGTGGTACAAACCTGAGGTTTTTGCGCAGTATGGGCAGGCGCTCGTGGCGCGCAGGCGCCCTGGCTCCCTCATTGTTCAGGGCCTGCGGCAGCGGGAGCTTGGGGCGTGCGCGCGTCGGCCGTTCTGCGCAGGCGCCGCGAAGGGCCGGGTCTCTGCGGAGGGGTTTTTCGAGACACGCCCCCTCGTAGAGGGCGTGACGTCAGTCAGAGCCTCCCGGACGCGTCTAGTGGTGCATCCAGACCCCGGCGCTCGGGCCTCCGCGGCCTGCGTCCGCCGGGCCCCTGCGCCGGGGCTTCTCAGCGGCTGGCCCGCCACTACCAGCTCGCTTCCCCGTGTGTCGGCTCTCTGCTCGGTGGGTGATTTGGAAGGGAGGAGGCGAGGGTGAAAACACCCGTGTCCCCGAGGGAATGAGGGACTAGAGGCCGATATTTATTTATTTAAGAGACAGGCTCTGGCTCTGTCCCCCAGGCTGGAGTGCAGAGTGGCGTGATCATAGCTCACTGCAGCCTCGAACCGCTGGCCTCAAGCGGCCCTCCCGCCTCAGCCTCTCGAGTGGCTGGGACTCTAGGCTCGCGCCACCACGCCCGGCTCGTTTTGTTTTTGGAGACGGGACCTGGGGCCGTTGCCCGGGCCGGCGGAGGCCGGCTTTCTGCGTTTTTGAGGCAGAAGGGAGACGCTTCTGCCCAGAAAGAGGGCGGGCTGGACGCCTGCGTCCCTGAGGAAGAGGGCCTGGGTGCTGGACGTCTGGGGCCTGGAGGGGACGAGGGGCACGGGGCGGAGGACTGAAGCCCGGGTCCGGGCAGGGGTGGCGAGGAAGGAGAAAGGCCGGGCGCTCCCTGACCCGGTCCTCCCCGCCCCTTGCTTTCCAGCCATGCCTCCGCCGCGCGGGGACGTGACCGCCCTGTTCCTGGGGCCCCCGGGCTTGGGCAAGTCCGCGCTGATCGCGGCGCTGTGCGACGAGGACGTGGAGACGCTGGAGGCCCCCGAGGCACGGCCGGACTCCGGCGT